AAAAACCTCAAATTTTACCTGCAGCATTCACCTGTACAGGTAGAATGGTTCACAAAATCAGTAGTAGGGTAGTATTTTTACAATTTTTGGAGCCGAATATATGAGAGACTGCTCAATCAAATATAGACAAACTATATATTTTTGGAATCGGGGCATTGTGCTCTTCAAGAATATAGAATAAAATATAGGGCATCCCATTTGAAAAAAGTTAGAAGCATGCAAAATTTCACATTTCTGACATTTAAATTTTATTTCTGACCATGGTTTCTAAAAATTCAACCAAAACTGTACAACTTTTGTATTTACACCTTTCTTCTACCTGTAAAGGTAAAGGTGGGGTGTTAATACATAAAAAAAACACTTTGTACAAACAAGTGGATTATTGCGGAACTTATGGGTGGACCTCTGCGGGACGAGCGCAGCGAGTTCCGCAGCCATCTATTTATCAATATACTGTTGAACTGTTCAAGTAAGACATTCATCTAAATGTAGTTTTTGAATTAATGAGAAAAACTCACAAGAGAATCAAGTTAGTATTGTACTTGAACAACATATTGATGAATAGATGGCTGCGGAACTCCCTGCGCTCGTCCCGCAGAGGTCCACCCATAAGTTCCGCAATAATCCACTCGTTTGTACTTGAATAACTTGTTACATTATGTTAGTAGTTTGGTAAAGTAACATTACTAATTTCTGTTGAAAAGCAAATTGACGAAAAGTGGATAATCTTACAAATTCTGACTTTATGTAATAAGTTATTGTTCAAGTACAAATAAGTGGATTGTTGCGGAACTTATGGGTAGACCTCTGCGGGACGAGCAGAGCGAGTTCCGCAGCCATCTATTTACCAATATACTGTTCAAATAACACACTCACCTGAAATGTGTAGTTTTTCTCCCAGAAGTTTCGCAACAATCCACTCATTTGTTCTTAAATGTAACCTATTACATTATGTCACTAGTTTGGTAAAGTAGGTAACATCACTAATTCCTGTTAAAAGGCAAATTGACAAAAAGTGGATAATCTTACAAATTCTGGTTTTACATAATAAGTTATTGTTCAAGTACATACAGGGTATTTTCTTATATATTGACACCCCATTTACAGCCTTTACCTTTACAGGTAGATGAAAGGTGTAAATACAAAAGTTGTACAGTATTGGCTAAATTTTTAAAATCCATGGTCAGAAACAAAAATTGAATGTGAGAAATGTGAAATGTTGCATACTTTTAGCTTTTTTCGAATGGCATGCCTTATATTTGGTTCTATATTCTTGAAGAGCACAATTTTCCGATTCCAAAACTATATAGTTTGTCTATATTTGGTTGAGCCGTCTCCAGTATATTTGGTTCTAAAAATTTTAAAAATACTATCAGAGAAACCAAGTACTTCAAATTTTACTTGCAGCTTTCACCTGTACACAAAATCAGTAGTAGGATAGTATTCTTACAATTTTTAGAGCCGAATATATGAGAGACTGCTCAATCAAATATAGACAAACTATATATTTTTGGAATTGGGGCATTGTGCTCTTCAAGAATATAGAATAAAATATAGGGCATCCCATTTGAAAAAAGTTGGAAGCATGCAAAATTTCATATTTCTGACATTTAAATTTTGTTTCTGACCATGGTTTCTAAAAATTCACACCCTGTGCACTCAAGGCTACGCAGACGATCTTGTCATCTTTGTGGTTGGTAGGGTACCCAGAACCATCAAAGAATCACTCAAAGAGCTCTTAACATGGTAGAAAGATGGTGTAAAAATCACGGGAGGTTAGGAACCGGTCCAACAATCGGTTCCAAGACGAATAGCTGGAACAGGAAGGCCTCAGACAGCCAAGGATCTTTATACAAGGTCCTTCAAACTGCAAAGAGGCCTCCCAAAATTAAACAGGAGCCAACTGAGAGCCATCACAGGCGTCCTGGCAGGACACTGGATGGTCAGATACCACCTAAACAAAATCGGACTCAGCAATGAGACGGAATGTAGGTTCTGCAGCGAAGTAGATGAAGCTACCAAGCATATTGTCTGTTAATGTGACGCTCTCGTCAGTCGCAGACTACGATACCTCGGGTATAGCTTCCTGGAACCTAATGAGATAAAGCATGTCCGGCCTGAGCGGGTCTGCACCTTTCCTAATATTTGCGGGCTCCTAAGGTAAAATGGGGGATAGCACAATAGACCACATGTGCGTCTACATGCTGCCTGTAAAGGCTCCCCTTTCAAATCAATCAATGTTTACATCAAAATTTTTAGGAAGTTTGGGATAAGTGAATCCTGTAGTGTCCACTATGCACTAAATTATATTGTTCACCTTTACCAGTTAATTGTTGTATGTCATTATGTCAGAATATGTGAAAATAAAGTTCATATTAAATAGTCAGTAAACTTATCATATCTGCTATTCAAATACTGTACTTCCATAATCAAAGTAAATACATAATAAATTGGCGACGAGGATGGGATATTTTCATTTTGTAATTGACAAATTTCAGGTAAATCGACTTTAATTTTCTGCATCCAGAGAATGTGAATAGAGTAAGAACTGTTTTACAATGTCTACAAGAAGCTGGTCTTCATATTAAACAAGAAAAATGTAAATTCTTCGAAGAATCCATAACATATTTGGGTCATAAAATTTCAAGCAGGGGTTTAGAGAAAACTGAAGACAAAATAAAAGCTGTCAAGAATGCACCAGTACCGACAAATGTCACTGAGTTAAAAAGTTGGTTAGGATTGGTCACTTACTATGGAAGATTTCTGAAAGATCTTTCTTCAAAAATACATCCTTTGTACAAACTTTTACAAAAGAATGTTATTTTCCGATGGACATCTATCTGTGATCAGGCTTTTAATTTAATTAAAAAGGAAATAACATCTGATCAGATTCTTTGCGCATATAATCCGAAACTACCTTTAATTTTGGCAACCGATGCTAGTCCTAAAGGTTTGGGTGCAGTATTATCTCATATTTTTCCTGATGGTGAACGTCCTATTGTTTTTGCTTCAAGGAGTCTAACGAGAGCTGAAAAAAACTACAGTCAAATTGATAAGGAAGCAACTGCTATTTTTTGGGCATGTAATAAATTTTTTCAGTATTGTTATGGAAGAAAATTCACGCTGATTACTGATCATCAACCTCTAGTTTCTATATTTAATCCAAACAAAAATCTTCCCAGTATGGTAGCTACTCGAATGCTTCATTACGCTCAATTTTTGCAAGGCTTTAATTATAACATTATTTATCGTTCTAGCGAAAAACACTTAAATGCTGATGCACTCTCGAGATTGCCTCAAAAAATCACTCCAGTTTTCAATCAAACAATGGATGGCGTTACAATTCATCAGTTACAACAAATTCTAACGTTACCAGTTACGCATAGAGAAATTGCTAATGAAACACAAGAAGACCCAATATTAAGAAATGTTTACAAAAGTTTACAAACTGGAAAGAAAATTGAAGAAAATGAATTTAAAGGGAAAGATATAGAATTTTCTTTAAACGAAGGTACTATAGTAAAAGATTCACGTATTGTTGTGCCCAAAACGCTTCGTCAAAGAGTATTAAAAGAATTACATGAAGCACATACCGGTATAGTGAGAATGAAATCACTTGCACGTTCTTTCGTTTGGTGGCCAAGAATAGATCTTGATATTGAAGAATTGGCTAAGAAATGTCAAAGTTGTCAATCTATGTTACACAACAAAACTAATATTCCACCGCATTGTTGGGAAACTCCGAAAGGACCGTGGCAGCGCGTACATATTGATTTTGCGGGACCGTTTCAAGGAACATACTTTTTAGTAATTTGCGATGCATATTCTAAATGGCCTGAAATTTTTATTACCAAGTCCATGAATACTTTGAAGACGATTTCAATTTTACGAGGTGTTTTTGCACGTTTTGGCTTACCTGTAACTTTGGTTAGTGATAATGGAGGATCTTTTACATCACAGGAATTTAAGAATTTCCTAAAAACCAATGGAATTATACATAAATTTACTGCACCATATCATCCCGCATCAAATGGCCAAGTTGAAAGATATGTGGGAACCATGAAGAATACTTTAAAGAAGATGGTAGATGACCCAGGAGATCTTGATTTGAAACTTCAAAATTTTTTAATGCAATACAGAAAAATACCCCACACTTCAAATAATCAGTCACCTTCTCAATTAATGTATGGGAGAGACATACGAACTAAATTAGATTTAGTTAGATTTCAAAAACCCATTGAGGTGGCAAATCAAGCATCTTCTAAATTTATGGTGGGCGAAAGCGTTCGAGTGAGACATTTTGATAGTAGGAAAAATTGTCTATGGAAATTTGGTAGAATTTTGAAGAGAGAGAGCAATCTTATTTATTTGATTGAAATGGAAGACAGAATAATCAGAAGACATATAAACCATATTGCTTCAACTAAAGTTGAGTGTCCAGTATCACAGCCTAACGTTTGTTATGTTCCAGAGGCAAAGCAAACTCTGGACACCGAAAATACTACAAGAGATAATGTTGTAGGTGCTTCATCTACTCAACATTTTTCTTATATTGATCCTGAGCAAAGTAAAAGCACAATTATAATTTCCGATTCGACTCCAGAAGTTTCCACTTCGGCGGAGATGATATTAGATGATCAAGAACCGAGAGACCAAGAGACTTTTCCGGTGGAAAGTACTGATCAAAACATTGAAACTTTTTACCAATCAAAAACCAAACCCAATCAGATACCAGAAAATGCTGAGACATTGCGAAGAAGTATTAGAACGAGAAAACAACCAGAAAAACTGAATCTTTAAATTTGCCAGGGAGGATTTGTAGTGTCCACTATGCACTAAATTATATTGTTCACCTTTACCAGTTAATTGTTGTATGTCATTATGTCAGAATATGTGAAAATAAAGTTCATATTAAATAGTCAGTAAACTTATCATATCTGCTATTCAAATACTGTACTTCCATAATCAAAGTAAATACATAATAAATCCAAAACTACATTTTCAATATAAATAATGGTTATATTCATTAAAAACGTTATAAACATAAAATCCTTATAGTACTTACATTCTAATAGTAGTTATTGCTATTTACAGATGTAAACGTACTCAAACATTCAACACAAAAAATATTGTGCTCTTCAAGGACCTAATTAAATTATTGCTTTATAGTGTATACAGGATTCCACAACCTTGCCACCTTATTAAACACAAAATGGCAAGACTGTGAAAATACACCAATCATCTTTGGTTTATAATTAAAAATTGCAAAGTTTTCCCATAAAAATCGTATTGGACATTCGGGTCCGTCTTCTTGGGTTCAGTTTTTGCTGCGTTTGCATCAGAATAATAAAAGGATGGTCGACGGTGAAGTGCATTTCCTTCGACACTATAAGTCTGCGCGGGATCATTTCGAATTCTAGTGTAAAAAGCTAGACATTATTATCTTTGAATATAATCAACAGAAATAACACACGTCTGGCGAAGAATTTTTTAAAAATAGAAAACTTACAAAAGTTTGCATTGAAACTGTCGTCAGAGACTAATTAAACATTACTTTTACTCAGACTTATACTTGAACTTTCTCTGAATAAAGTTCCTAATAGACCCTAAGCAAAACTCCAGACGTGTATAAAAAGGTTAATAATAATTGGTAGGTTGTCTTTTGATTGATGATTAATTTGATATTTAACTAGAACTAAAAGAGCAACATGCAAACTTTCCCCCAAGAGACAAGGACCAAAAATAATAATAATTATTAAAATATGCTGCACATTCGCATTCTTTTCCCAGATCAGGCTTTACAACTAAACACGATTGATTCTTCCCATGAACAAAGTGTAAGCCAGTTTCTTGCCCTTCTTAAGCCTGAGCCTCTGCTTTTTTTGAATCACTATAATGCAAGGATGGTCGACGTTGAACTCTAGGGGTGGTTTTTTGCGTCCAATTCTAGCTATACGGGCTTGGATACGAACAGCTGAAGCAAATAATTCAGAAAATATTGTCAACGGTAACTTGTTTGAAGCCCATCTCATGCATTATAATGACTATGTATTCCTCCAGAAGCTTTATTGTTCCACTGTGTTAAATACTCCCTTTGGACAAATTCAATGCCTAGCTTAACTTATTGGGTTAGTTCCAGTTAAAAACAAACACAGAGTTCAGATAATTTGCCATCAGGTTCATTAGTTACATTAGAAAAGATACTGTGAGGGTAAATAATTCGAGAGATACGAGTATATTGATTAACAAGGAATTAGTTAGATCCAATGAGATCCTTAGATTGGTGGGTAGAACTGATGATTCAGAGAGAATGATAGACAGAAAATACATTTTAGAACTGGACAATCTGATTCCAGAGGGCGGCAGACTTGATTCTAAAAATAGAATGATTTTGTATATAAAGACTGTAATTTGTAAGTTAGCCAGTCAATTTAAATAAGAGAAATTGGAATTGGAAAAAACAAAAATATAGTATCTTACTCACTTTAAATACTCGTGAAATAATACTGTATACTATTACAAATTTACAGGAAACTTTCAAATATTTCTGCTTCAAAACAATCCATCCGATCATTGTCAGGAGAAAATTATCATTCTGAAAATCTGTTCCAAGGATCTAATTGGCCCCGACTATTTGAAAAATATTAGACATAAATAAATTATTATCAATAAATTGTACAAAAAGCTTAAAAAAAATAAATAAATAAAAATACATAGTACATTATATTTTTTCACAATTGTAAGAATTTCAAAGATTCTACTGGACGACGTCGATCACTCTTCCAGTAAACAACACAATATCGTGGTTTTCTTGATTAGCAATTAAAGCTATGACAAATGGATGGTCCACAGTAAATTCTTCAATGATGGGCATACAGCGCAGCATGAACTCCATACCTATACGGCCAAGAAAGTTGAGAATTTTTAACAAATTCAGAAATCATAAAGCATGCCATGTACTGAAACAGTTATTCTATCTACATAGTTTGCAGAAAAAGTGCCGTATATTGTGTGTATATACAAGAAAAATTATACTTTTTGTTATAATTAAATAAATTTATTGTTAATCATAAATTACAAAATGAAGAATTAGAGTTGTGATAATCTACCACTGAACAAAATCTGTCTACCATCATGAGATTTATGGATCAAATAGAATAAGTAGGGATGATTAGCATAGAATTCCTTTGGGGGTTGGGGTATCATTAAAGTACGCACCCTGAAGACCATACCTAAAGATAGAGATACATAAGATATCTAAATAAACGCTACTAAACATTATATGACAGGACATAGCAAGTACGATTATTAGTGAAAGACAGGAAAGATGATGTGCGATCCTAGTATTAGTAACTGGAAAATCAATTTCCAAAAAAACTCCTACAATATTGGTGCAATCAAATATTTTTTATTCAAATCTTTATATTGATTTATACCTGAATAACATATTAAAGTTCATCACGCTTACAACTACCATAGCAACTACTAATATCAGGCGCGCTTGGTCTTGAAATTTTGCCATAAAACAACACATTTCTAATTTTCAGATTGTCGTTCGAGTGACCAAAATGGGACAAAATGCAAATGAACGGTCTGTCAACAATAAACTCTTCTGGCGTTTCAATGAGGGCTCTTTTCATACGCATAGTTGCACCTAAAAATATTTCAATAAGTTTTGTAAAATGGCTTGTAGCAAAAAATATACTGTGAATTAATACTTACATGTTAGAATCAATCAGATCTTTGAAAATCTAATTGGGACTGATTTTTCTAACACATACCTATAAACACTATTTCCACAAACAGAAAAGTGTTCAGATTCAGAGACGTATATACCTACAGAATATTTTTTGCTATTTGCTTAATTAGTAACCTAGAAACCTAATTCATTTCACATCAAAATTACCATACCCTATATAATCAACAGATTCTAAAAGATCAAGTCAAAGTGCGAATGACGCATCGCACATTTTTATCAGCTAAGAAACAAATAATTGGGTTTGTTAGGATGTTGATTACATGGAGTAATTGTAATACTAAAGCATAGGCGTGCTTTAATCAAAGAATAGCCACATTATTACCAAGAAAATTACTAAAATGTTTATGTACAATCACTGTGTAAGTAGCTACCTATGGGATACTATTTACAAGGACCTTAGTAGTACTTTACTTAGAGGGCATCAGCTAATTATTGCAATAGAGATATTGAAACAGGAAAATATCCCCAACCCTCACCGTTTAAATCAAAATGTCTTAGTAGAGCAAATATTTAGAACTAATTCAAATCACGAAAAACAAGGCTTATCAAGAAGAAGCAGTCCTGGCCTATATATACCCTCTCCTTGGACATTAGTGTAGAAGAAATACAAAAGAAATATAGTGTCGCGATGCGTTGTCGCCATGGTATACAGAATCCATGCCTAAAATTCCAGAAAAGAACTCTTTATTCGGGCAAAAAGATTATCGCGCTTATTCTGGATTATACAAGAATGGATTACGGATACATAAAAGCTGATATTAGTTAGAAGTTTAAGTTTCAAGATTGGCTGAAACGTGTAGTTTTTAAACTAATGAGATTTGAGTGAGTCAGGTTAGTATCGTAATTAAACAACATATTGATGAATAGATAGCTGCGGAACTCGCTGTGCTCGTCCCTCAGAGGTCCACCCATAAGTTCCGCAACAATCCACTCGTTTGTACTTGAATAACTTGTCACATTATATTACTAGTTTGGTAAAGTAGGTAACATTACTAATTCCTGTTGAAAGGCAAATCGACAAAAAGTGGATAATCTTACAAATTTTGACTTTATATAGTAAGTTATTGTTCAAGTACAAATAAGTGGATTGTTGCGGAACTTATGGGTGGACCTCTGCGAGACGAGCGCAGCGAGTTCCGCAACCATCCACTCACCAATATACTGTTGAACTGTTCAAGTAAGACATTCATCTAAATGTAGTTTTTGAACTAATGAGAATAACTCACATTTGAGTGAGTCAGGTTAGTATCCTAATTACATAATATACGGATAAATGAATGGCTGCGGAACTCGCTGCGCTCGTCCCGCAGAGGTCTTCCCATAAGTTCCGCAACAATTCACTCATCTGTACTTGAATAACTTGTCACATTATATTACTAGTTTGGTAAACTAACATTACTAATTCCTATTAATAAGCAAATTGACAAAAAGTGAATAATCATAATCTTACTAATTTTGACTTTATATCATAAGTTATTGTTCAAGTACAAATAAGTGGATTATTGCAGAACTTATGGGTGAACCTCTGCAGGACGAGCGTAGCGAGTTCTGCAGCCATCTACTCACCAATATACTGTTGAACTGTTCAAATAAAATACTCACCTGAAACGTGTACTTTTTAAACTAATGAGAATAACTCACATTTGATTGAGTCAGGTTAGTATCGTAATTACATTAAATATTGATGAATAGATGGCTGCGGAACTCGCTGCGCTCGTCCCGCAGAGGTCTTCCCATAAGTTCCGCAACAATTCACTCATCTGTACTTGAATAACTTGTCACATTATATTACTAGTTTGGTAAACCAACATTACTAAATCCTATTAATAAGCAAATTGACAAAAAGTGAATAATCATAATCTTACTAATTTTGACTTTATATCATAAGTTATTGTTCAAGTACAAATAAGTGGATTATTGCAGAACTTATGGGTGAACCTCTGCGGGACGAGCGTAGCGAGTTCCGCAGCCATCTACTCACCAATAAACTGTTGAACTGTTCAAGTAAGACATTCACCTGAAACGTGTAGTTTTTAAACTAATGAGAATAACTCACATTTGAGTGAGTCAGGTTAATATCGTAATGTTAACATATTGATCAATAGATGGCTGCGGAAGTCGCTGCGCTCGTCCCGCAGAGGTCCACCCATAAATTCCACAACAATCCACTCGTTTGTACTTGAATAACTTGTCACATTATAAACTAGTCAAAACGAAATAAGGACCACTTTTGAAAACTCATTTATTTTTAATGAATTTTGAATAACCCTGGTAAAGTGTGTATTTCCATTCACAATATAAATTTTTTGTGCACACTTTATTTGTTTATCTATACTTATTGTAAATGGAAATAGTCACTTTACCAGGGTTATTCAAAATTTAATGAAAACCCTGCTCTTAAAAGTAGTCCTTATTTCGTTTTGAGTAGTATATTTCTAGTTTGGTAAAGTAACATTACTACGTAATTCCTGTTGAAAGGCAAATTGACAAAAAGTGGATAATCTTATAAAATTTGACTTTATATAATAAGTTTTTGTTCAAGTACAAATAAGTGGATTGTTGCGGAACTTATAGACGAACCTCTGCGGGACGAGCGCAGCGAGTTCCGCAGCCATCTACTACACATCACTGTTGAACTGTTCAAATAAGATACTCGACGCTGTGATATAATTTAGATAGTGAATATTGTAAAGTAAAGAGTTGAGTTGTTTGAGTTTATTAGTGAAGTAATTAGTGCCAGAGTGTATAGTAACGTGGAATAAATTATTGTTGTGTTAATTGGACTTTGATTCTGGAATAAACGGATTTCTGTCACGCACTCCAGGGCCGTGACAATAGGATTTCCTAAGGATTCTACATCATAAATTAAAAGTGATGATACAATAAGGTAGAAAATGATGAGCAAGAGAATAATAAAATATGAAGAAGTTACTGTTAAACAACTTTTTTTCTTGTTTCCAGTGGAGATTTCTTACGTTTTTTTCCTTTATGAACTCGCCTTGGAAACAAGGAGCTGTGATTTTTGATATCATAATATGTGAAAAATACCATAGTTTACTTTATCTTTTCCTAAGTATTATCTCTCATTAGAAAATGCTAGCATAACTTGTATCAAAGAAAATATTAAAATAACATTTTACTCACCTTGTTGAAAAAATCTTCGTCAAACACACAATTGTTTCACATAAACAAAATTTAAAAAAAAAATGGTTCTATCTAAAAATTCTAAGTACGTACTAAATTACTTGAGAGAATCAGTTTTAATGCATACTGGATATACACTAAATAGTTATTTCCTATTCAGTAATAAATCAACAATGTTGCGGCTTTGTTTATGAAGATTTTTAAGGTTCTAAGGTACAAGCCATTAAAGAATTACCCTGTAGATTGGTATAGTGGTTAGTGTGAGAAGTGTGTTGAATAAAGCAATAATAAAAGGGGGAAACAGAAAAAGCAAGCAAGCAAGCAAAGTAATACCAATCAATAAATACATCCCTGCATGCATATTTCATAGACAATGTTAATAAAAGCTTTTACAAACAAGCCAACAATTATTTTTTTTTTAAACATAATGCAATAGGAGGCTTCTGGTTATTGACACCCTATCAGTGATTTATTCACTCCAAAAATATTATTGTTTTTGGTCATATTTTTGAATAAAACTTTCTATACATCTATAGGAATTTTTTTTTTCTGAGTTTTGAATTTATACTTCTTCCCTCAAATTGCATTATCTTTTGCTTTCATCAAACATTTAAACATCATTGTCAGGCGACTCACCAGTGGCTGCAGCAGCTTCAGTTCCTTCCTCGTTAACTTCAATAAATGCTTTCTGGATAACTTGGCTCACAAACAATTCTTCTGGGCTATCAAGCATTTCAGAGAAATCAGCTTCGTTTTCTTTGAAGATTACTCCAAGACCAGCCTAAAAAAAAATCAGCGTCAATGTCTTCATGTCGGTGCCATTTTATTCTCAAAAGTGTGATTACTTATATTTTTTTTATTTTAAATAAAAGATGGATGATGAAATGGGTTGTATTTAGAACAGAGGAAATGGAAGCGGAGGAACAAATCTTGTATCAGACGACATACTGATTGAAGATGGTTCACTTCAGATTGACACAACACCCAATACAAAATTTGATCTTCAACCAACTTTTTTCTCAAGATACATTTTTTCATTATTCATATTACGAAATAGGGTTGGCATGATTTAAATCAAATGATTTAAATCAAGTGATTTTTTTGAAAAAAATCAACGATTTAAATCGATTTTTAGAAATTGAAAATATATTTGTTTATTTTGATACATATACTTACATAAATGGGATAACCAAAGAGGATTTAGTAATTATTAAGAAATTCCTGATTGCAATACCATCCTTGGCTAGGGGGAAGAGAATATTTTCAACCTACGTATTATAATCTGCCATAATGATTTGAGAAATCGACTTGGCAATGAAAAGGCCGCAAAGCTGGTATCTCTGCTGGTATATTAAGGTTTAAAGTCAGGCCTATAGTTCATTACAGCAACGCGAGATGTCAGTACTGTCGCCCCTATAGTGTGCCCTAACTTGATAGTCAAAAAAAAATAGAAATCTGCATTTGATTAAATTGTGTGATGGAAAGTTTTTTCTTTTTTTTGCGGAAATTCGAAGTATTATTCTGTTTTACATAAACAGGGTTGTAGTTTGGACCAACACAAATAATTTTGAACATTCATCCGTCGGATTTTTTTTAAAACAGTGTAGCTACAGGCGTATTTCCAACTATTCTTGCAGTAGCGAGAAAACTACAAGTTCAAAAAATTTGAAAAAAATATATGTCGCGTAGAATTGCAATAGTAGTTCGTAATAAAAATAACGGGAAACTTCATCTATTCGTTTTGAAATAAATGGTGAAAAACCACTTTTTTTTTCAGTTTTTGCGATATAACTCAAAAATGGCGAGTCAAATTTGCTTAAAAAAATTATGGATTAAAGTATATCAATAACCATAAAACATATATTTTTTTTGGAATTTTTGAACACAAGGTTCAGAAAATGGGGGTTGACTTTAAACCTTAAAAAATCGGAATAATTTTTTTTTATATATAAGTAGTATTATTTTCATTTTTTTACAAAAGAATTATTTACTTTATTTTGACTTATTTTTTTTTCTCTTTACTAAGTTTAAGGGGCAGGGTAATAGATAGGTAGGTACCTTATCTACATAACACCTCTACCTATCGAATATTTTTATTTACTGTTTTTTTTGTTGAAACTATTTATTTATTAATAAACATTAATAAATTTTTATTTTTATTATACTGTATTATAATACCTACTCTTATTATATACTCGTGGACAAAATTATCGTACCACTGCTTTTCTGGTGCTTATGTGCAGTGGTGCGATAATTTTGTCTAGGAGAAGGTATACTATATTTACTGCATCATTCATTGTTGAAACTAAATTACCAATAATTGATCAAAAATTAATAAAGCCATTTAATTCAAAAAAACCAAGAAATCCAATTTAAATCAAAAAAATCTGATTTAAATCTGATTTTTTTGATTTTTTCGAAAAAATCATGATTTTTGCCAACCCTGTTACGAAATTGACTTTGGCATAGAAGATTTTTGAAAAAGCACAGCACATGTCATTTCTTACCTTCTCTAGTGGTTTATTCAAATTAATAGTAGTCTCAATTTTAAATTTAGGCAATTTAACAACAACTTCTGGTTTAAACATGTTTTCAGTAATCTTAGTCAAATCAGTTTCAGCTAATTTAGCTTCCAGCTCAGCAATTCCGTTCCTTTTATTGGGCAAAATAACAATTAAACTGACATCGGGATTGGCATAAGGAAGTTCCAAAACTTTGGCATCCAATTTTTCATCTTCCTTGTAAAAATATTTGCCTTTTTTGTTCATCATTTGCACGTCGATAGAGTCGTTGTCGTTTAAGTAGAATTTTTCAGTTTTTGTTTGGCTTTTGTCAAATTTACTTGCCCAGTTGCCTTTGAAGTAAATGGCATTCACCAACACTAAGCGAGTCAGGTCGCTGAGACTATCAGGCTGGATAAGATCTTTGATTTTGTTTTGAGTCTTCTTTTCGACCCAAAGATTAATTTTCTTAGCTGCTTCAGCTGTTTTAGCAAATTCAACCGACTCAACTTCAGACAAAAATTTCTTCTGAGCCACTTCTTTGAAAGCCGCCTTTAAACCATAACCATTTTTGATATACACCTTGTTGGCCATCAACAATTCCACATCGGATACATTATTCAGGTGGTGAATCACGTCACTGTATCCTTCAGCAGCTTGAAGGGGGCTATCAATAGCCAAAGTTTTGGTAAATGCGTCCTTGGTAGAACCCCCAGCACCTTGATAAGCCATTGCTAGCACGGCGTGTGCGCTGATTGGCGAAAAAAATACATTTCCTGGTTCTTCAGAGAGGATGTTGTAAAGTTTTTTAGTGAAGTTACCGTTGCCTTGTATGACGGCTTGGAGTTCTTGTTTTCCAGCAGCCATGATTTGAGGTAGAATGGTTAGGAGGGATAGTAGAAATATAACACCTGGAAAAAAAGGATTTATTCAATTTATTTTGACTATTTTAAAGTATCCAAATAGCAAATTTTAGTATTCATAATTGTCACAAATGAACTGGAAAAAAGCCTAAGAATGGTTCTTTATTCAGGCTCCTCGAGGCCTGGGCATGTTTTTAGTCATCTATCAATTAGAATTTGCCTGTTAAATGTTGTGGATTGTTTAGGTTTTAAAAAATTATCAATTGCATGTTTTTATCAATTACATTTTCAGTCAACATTTTATGTCCTAGGTAGTGCTAGACTGTAACACAAAAATAGAATAACACTATGTAGGAAAATATTAAAATCAAAGTATGTCCTGAAAACTTGAAAATTATATTTGAATCCTCAGGTTCAAAGTGTTCAATGCTCGGTTCAATGTCAGTGGTATGTGGAGGATTTTTTACATAAACTAGGTATTTGACTTCTATATTAAAAAATATATTTAACAGAGGATTCAAAAGCACATAATCAGTAGGTATTAAATTTTAAAATAATGAATTTGAATCGAGATTTGAATTTAACAACACCTGAGATAAGACCATATTTAAATCTTTGCATAGAGTTGCTAAAGGTTAAGGGGTAGGTATGATTCAATAAGTTACTACCATCGAGGTCGTTACTACCTCAGTTACTACATACCTACTTGTATTTTGTATTGTAGTCAATTGATATCACAACAATTTCAAACTCGGCTTAGCACTAAATTTTATTTTATCAAAAACTAAATATATTATTATTCTACTACCTACTTTATTATGGAATAACCTCGGAAATACCAGAGTCTGAACAACAAATAGATAAATGTAACTACATTACACTCCTAACTAAAGCGTAACCGCCTACTGATTGCAATGAGTCATACAAGATATGGTAAAAATATGAGGTGAAAATGTTATATCGTTCGCAGCCATTGTCATATTATTCAATTGCAAATCGTGACCTGCTTGCTTGTTTATTCAAATATAATAGAAAAGTGCCAAAATTGATAAGAACCAACATAAATATGGCACATTAATGCAATTGTAGAATATATAGGGGTGTTCAAGTTTTAACTAACTCAATCAAGCCAATTTTCATCGAAACTCAACTTTAAACTAACTCAAAAGAAAATTCCTCACAAACAATACAAGCAGTTGAATAGTGAAGTGGATTATTTTGCATTTAATACACTTCGGAGGGATTTTGAAAACCCCACCAAGGAGTGCTACAAATTATACATAAGTGATACTGAAAGGGCCATAGGCACTAACCTGAAAGTCTTCTGGAACTTTGTTCATTCCCCGTCCAATCAGGGTACTATTCCTAAGGAAATGATTCTGGCGACAGAAATAGCGCCCAACGGTGTAATCTTTTTAGTGTTTATTTTTCTTCTGTCTATAACCCTCAGAGAAATTCTTACGCCACAACTTTTGCTGCTGATCGATTTGAGAATATTTCAAGCATTTTCATAGACCCAACCGATATTGACATGGCTTTAGAGCAAGCGGACATCAACAAGTCTGCAGGACCTGATGGTATTCCTAACAAAGTACTAAAATCTTGTTCTAACACTTTGTATCTCCCTCTATTTATTATTTTTAACAAATCCTTAAACTCTGGAATTTTTCCAGAAATGTGGAAGCTCTCTTATGTTTGTCCTATTCACAAGTCAGGTAGCAAGAATGATGTTACAAACTACAGACGTATCAGCATTCTGTCTAGAATTCCTAAATTATTTGAGCAGTGCGTTGAAAATATTCTTTCAAAAATATTTCATCAGATTGTGATCAGTCAACAGCATGGATTTACAGCCAGTAGATCTGTTGATACGAACCTGTTTCTCTTTACAAATTTTATAAATTCATCATTTGATAACAATGCAGAAAATTCATGCAATATATACTGACTTCCGTAAAGCCTTTGATGTAAACCATAACATCCTTGTTTCAAAGCTCTCAAGTTATGATGTTTCTGGGCCCTTACTTTCACGGATGAAATCTTACCTTACTAACAACAAGTCAAGATCGATGGCTGTCTTTCTTCTCTTTTCCATGCATCCTCTGGGATACCCAAGGTCCTCACTTCGGCCCCCTTCTATTCACCTTATTTATCAATGATTTAGGATCGCTGCTCTCCTCGAATTTTTTACTCTTCGCTAAAGACTTGAAGTTGTGTTGTCAGGTGACTACATGACATACTTATACTGCAAAACGATCTTAACATTGTTTATGATTGGTGTCAGCTTAATGACATGTTCCTCCTTAATGTTCACCAAGCATTTTGAAGTGGTAATTGGCAGGGCTAATAAAATGTTGGGTTTTATTTAGAGAGCTACTAGGGATTTTACAAATATACGCCCCATCAAAATTCTATATACATCACTGGTCAGATCCGTTCTTGAATTTTCTTGCATAGTTTGGTCACCTTACTATCAGATCCACATGAATAGGCTTGAGAGTGTTCAACACAAATTTATCAAGTTTGCTAGGTACAAACTGTCTCTGAGTGGTGTGATTCTCAGCGTTGACCAGACTATGACTTTCTCAGACTTAACTACTCTTGTTCGCAGAAGGGGATACCTTGATGTCTGTTTTGCTTTTAATCTCCTTAACTAGGTACTACATAAAAAACCATGAATGTCTTGGATGCTTTTATCTACACACTCAAAGTTATCAGACGAAAAGTAAATCTTTACTGCACATCCCTTACTGTCGAACTTGCTATTTATTCCTGTTAATCGAATATCTGCCAATGTAAATAAGTTCTATGAGGGTCTTGACTTTTTTAGTTTATCTCAGGATAAATTCAAGATGCAGGCCAAGAGAATTGTTTTAGGTTAGATTTTTAGATTATTTTAAACTCGATTTTAAAGGATAACGCACACCTAACATGGGATTTTTGGGCTCTATGGATTTTGCCCATTTTTTGATATGTTGAAGAGGATTTAATTCTGAACAATTTCTAAATGGGACGAAATCTTGTAGGTATTATGGTCTTTGAGATATGAGCGTTGGAAGATGAACTTTTTTGTGACTCTTTGTGTGGAGAGTATACGAGATACTGGTGTTTATCAGTCAAAATATTGACAGGTTCACATATTTTACGTCACTTAAAAATTAATGTCAACTTAGGTTAAGGCCGGAACCGCACTGGGGTCAATGTTGGCGCCAGTGCGGTCCCGGCTTTAGCCTATGGTGACATTTGTTAGTGACGTAAAATATGTCGACCTGTCAAAATTTTGAATGATAAACACCAGTTTTTTGTATACTCTCCACACAAAAAGTTGCAAAAAAGTGCATCTTTCAACGGTCATATCTCAAAGACCATAATACCTACAAGATTTTGTCCCATTTAAAGGTTGTTCAGAATTAAATCCTCTACAACATATCAAAAAATGGGCAAAATCCATAGAGCCCAAAAATCCCATGTTAGGTGTGCTTTATCCTTTAAACTTTGTACCACTTCAAATGTATGTATTTTTTATGCGTAAATAAATAAATAAATAAATAAATACACCTGACAGAGAAATATGTTTTATTTGGACTTTCCTAGGACAAATTTGTATAAAAATTCTCCAGTTTACCGTATGTGCAATTATTTTAACATTTATGCAAGTGACATGGATATAAACACTATTAAGAGGGATTTACACGGTTCCAGTAGCTGGAACAAGTACTAAAGCCATGAACTAAAATTTAGTTAATGGAACCGTGTAGACTCCATGATTTAGTACTTGAGCAAGTAAGCCTTTTAGACAGTAGTTTAGTCAAGTGAATAGAAGCAGGTTCTATTACTTGAGCCAGTGGCTTCCCCCACTCTTGTTTTTCAACTGTCTGAAGTGAACTGAACGCGTGTAGACAGGATATTTTAGTAAAGTGCATTAGTAGGGTTTTAATTTTGAATAGCAGCGCAGTGCATCATGTTGCAATGTCGTCTCGTTGGAGTGAAGAAACAACCATGAAATTTGTGCAAGAATATCGAGACAAACTGTGTCTATGGAACAAAATAAAATCACTTTACAAAAATAAGCAAGCAAGGAATGCGGCCCCAATAATGATAGAAGATAATATGGGGATTGAAGGTTTTGGGGTGAACGAAATGTCATTTTAAAACTGTTCAACTCGAGGTTCAATTATCTGAACTTATTCCAAAACACTAACACAACTACTTGAACAGAAAGAAATTTATTTTAGTTACTGGCTTTAGTACTTATTCCAGCTACTGGAACAGTGTAAATCCCCCTTTTTACTTTAAGCCTCATTTACACGGTGCAAGTAGCTTGAGCAAGTACTAACGCCAGTAGCTAAATTATCTTTGTTTTCGTGCAAGTGAGTGTCTACATGCATTTTATTGATTTTAAGTCGAATTTAGTGATTAGTGCAAATTGAGGTGAAATGGCAGCAAGTACAGTTGTTTGAAAAGAAATTCAAAAATGCATTTTGAGTGTTTGTGGAGAATTATCAGAAATTTTATTGAAAGAAATTGAAAAAGAAAAATGTTGTTGGGTTGGACCATGAATATCTCATTGGTACAGTGGAAGTTTAGAGTTCCATGAACATGGATGTTCTCTGTACTCTTGCACAAATTTAATTGTGGTTTCTTCCGTCCAACGAGACGACATTGCAAACGCAATTAACAGGTGCAACACAATACTCAAAATATTCAAATTCAAACCCTACTAATGTACTTCACTAATCACTAAATACAAATCCTGTCTACACGCGTCCAGTCCACTAAAGTGGACAGTAAAGTAAACGAGAGTGGGGGAAGCCACTTGCTCAAGTAAATAGAACCTGCTTCTATTCACTTGACTAAAGAGTTTACTTGCTCAAGTACTAAATTAAAGTGTTTACACTTTACACGATTCAAGTTACTAAATTTTAGTTGCTGACGTTAGTACTTGCTCAAGCTACTTGCACCGTGTAAATGAGGCTTTAGGACAATTTACTAAAATTAAAGGTGGGACACCGAGTGGGACACTTTTTATTTCCCAGGCTCAGGAATTGACAAGTTTGTTTTATTGTAATATTGTATACTATAATTTTGGTTTTTGCTTGTGTAACCTCCGAGGAAACCTCACATATTAATTTACTAAGAAGTGTTTATGATTGTTAGGATGTAAATTTAAAATAATTATTGTTTACTAGTCTTAAAATCGGTATCTGTAATTGGCATTTGCTGTTGATACTCTATTAATAAATAAATAAATTAATTAAAACCCACCTAATTACCTATCATTGCCTACTTTTCACCTCAAAGTTAAAAATCAATGTAATCTAAGAATTAAATATGACTAAAAATTCTTGTAAAAATTATATTATTTAATCAGATTTCTCTTAACTTGAATAAAAAAAAAAATCATTAGTTTTTTTTCTGAAAATCCCAATAGAGAATCATGTACGCAATGTGCCATGCCATGTTTTGGGTTGGCTGCTAATCCCCTCATCAAAAGTTGAGGATGTTCAAAAAGTATCCGAATACCTATGACAGTTATACACTTATTTCTAAGAACAGCTCGGTTGGCTGTCAGGATTAAATTGTGAACTTGTTCCAAGGCCCGGTTTAGTGACCTAATAAACTGTCAAGTATATCCCTATTGGTCAGCCGGATAACTAGTTTGGGGAATTTGTCTTTTGGTTGAAGACAGTTGCCAGCAAGTTTATCAAAAGATGAATAAACCGGGCCTGAACATAATAATATGATAGATATACTGAAGTTCTCAATTATTATCAGAGAACAAAATATAGTTGACTCCTTGGAGTTGATATTTCTTAATCCTAACCAAATAGACAGATACCTAGAGCACCATACAACAATGATCATTGTCTATATTTTTCAAGACTCTCAAAACTATTTTGGAGCAAGTGGCACAGCACAATAAGAGGCACAATATCTTATAAATTCACAAATAACACTTAGAAAATATAAATATACATTAACTTATTGAACCATCATAAACTAATAAATCCAAAATCATCTTACCTAGATGCAATTTATGTTGATGTGGAATAAAAACCGCCGACACCCATACACTTATCTGCCTCATAAAAAACTAATTTTAGGATTGTATACGATGCGAAAATGTTTTGAAAAAGATCAATATATTTCGACCTTCAGCAGGACTGTATATATTTTCGTTTCCAGATATCTGGATCAAATGTATTTTATCGAATCGAAAATGGTATAAATGAAGTCATCAAGACCGAAAAAAACATGACTCAAAACAACATAACAAAAACATAACCTAAATTTGTTTATCAAATAAAAGTCATTAGTTGTTGTATCCTTGTCTTTTTTATTAGTTAGACAAGAATGGCTATGTTTTGTAAAGGTTTTGTCATATTAAAGCGACGTTGCCAAACCAAACAGAAATCACAAACCAGTCAGAGCAGTCAGCGCTATTCAGAGCGTTTTTGAATGGTGCAAAGTAAATATAGACAGTTTTCTGATTTTCAACCAATAGGTCTGTTTCTGCAGAAATCACAAACCAGGCAGAGCGAATTTCATTGGTTGAAAACAGTGAGAAACATTCAGAAAACTAGTTTCAACCAATGAAATTCATTCTGACTGGTTAGTGATTTCTGCAGAAACAGACCTAATGAAATTCGCTCTGACTGGTTTGTGATTTCTGTGATTGTTTCTGTGAGAACTGACCTAATATCAGTGGCGGTTCGCCCATATGGGCAAGGTGGGCACCGCCACCCTGGAGAAAAAATGGAAAAATAAAAAATACTTTTAATACAATATTTGGAAACGCCGCGACCTTGAAAATCTAAAAAAAAATCGCCCACGGCTGTTTTTTATTTTTGTCGCCCACCCTTACTTGGAGACCACGAGCCGCCACTGCCTAATATTTCCCCTTTCCAGGCCAAATATTATTCATTTTATTTGCAGCCTACTATCCGAAGAAAAATGAGCTATTATTGCGAACTCACTTGTGCGAAATTCGCTCTTTTTGCGCAAAATTCGCACTTTTTTGACTTGCTTCGACAAGTTGACGTTTTATGCGTATATCAAGCGTCAAATTTTCGAAGCAATGTCAAAAAAGAGCGAATTTCGCGCAAGTGAGAATGGGCTCTTTCACTAATTTTTGAAATTGGCATATTTGGATAAAGCAACTAAAAACAGAATTTTCTGTATTTTTACTTTTGAAAAATTCAAAGTCCTTCTTGAGAAAACAGAAAACAAAGAAATACCTCCAAATAAAAACCCAGAATTTATTTCTATGACGTCGCAGCTCGCAATTTGACCGTGTTGCCACTAATTGTCAACATTGAAAATTTGTAATAGATTTAATTCTGAAATGTTGGCAAAATCTCATGAAAAGTAGTTAAATTAATTAGTTATAGATTCAAGATTTTATAACATTTTTTTTTAAATTATGCTTAAATACAATTTAATGCAATTTTTTATGTTTAGTTTTATTTATTTATTTTACGCTGCACTACATTTAGTCACAACCGACAACAGCGCATTCGAACCTTTACGTATCTTTACAGAGCGCAAACACAGCCGAGCCCTTCCTCCTTGCAACGACATAAGCGAAATGAAGAATATTTATGTGACGTCGGCAAATCGGCGCGTTTTAAAATAGTTTGAATTTAGGCACTTTTGATTGCCTATGAAAAACTTATTGAACCTTGTAGAACATTTTTTTTTGGTATATATGCCTAAAATAGTCCCTCCTTTGAGATTTTATACTTAAATTACGTATTTAAATTTTAGTGAAAGAGCCCATTAAGCTTTAAAGCCTGTCAATTTTTATATGTGTTATCAAATAATAGTATATTATATACCTAGGTAGAGAAGTTGGTCCTTATATACCGAGCGCTTTTATAAACCGAGGCGCTCGCGCCGAGGTTTATAATGAGTGAGGTATATAATGACTTTCTCTACCGAGGAATATATAGAATTTTTTTTACTACTGCTAGTAGAAAATGAAAAATTTGTTTAAAATCTGTGCTCCAATTATTTTTTTTGAACGCCCTCTTGAAAGTGCTGCCCTCTATCAACAGCTTATGATAACTTCCTATGTACCTACAGAAACCTGTATTTTTTTTCAAATTGACGTATGGAAATGAAATTGAACCAATAGAAACATGACAATATCCTTGCGTCATGACGTCATTTTCATTATTAACCTAGGTATTTTTTCATTATTTTCATTATTCACCTAGGGAGAGAAATTCAATTTTTTCCTAGAAAAATAGATTGAATAATGACAATTTCTCAGGTTAGTAGTAAAAAATAGTATATTATATACCTAGGTAGAGAAGTTGGTCATTATATACCGAAAGCTTTTATAATGAGTGAGGTATATAATGACTTTCTCTACCGAGGAATATATAGAATTTTTTTTACTACTGCTAGTAGAAAATGAAAAATTTGTTTAAAATCTGTGCTCCAATTATTTTTTTTGAACGCCCTCTTGAAAGTGCTGCCCTCTATCAACAGCTTATATAACTTCCTATGTACCTACAGAAACCTGTATTTTTTTTCAAATTGACGTATGAAATTGAAATTGATCCAATAGAAACATGACAATATCCTTGCGTCATGACGTCATTTTCATTATTGACCTAGGTATTTTTCATTATTTTCATTATTAACCTAGGGAGAGAGATTCAATTTTTTCTTAGAAAAATAGATTGAATAATGTCTTATTTCTCAGGTTAGTAGTAAAAAAAAGTCATTAGTTGTTGTATCTTGTATTTTTTATTAGTTAGACAATAATGACTATTTTTGTTAGTAACATTAAAGCGACGTTGCAAATAGAAATCACAAATCAGTCAAAGCAATAATGACCTGAATGACCTCAAAGCGTCACTGTAGTCAGAGACACAGACCGTTTTGAATGGTTTTCTGACTATTTTCAACCAATGAAATTCGTTCTGACTGGTTTGTGATTTCTGTGAGAACAGGCCTAATATCACCCCTTCCCAGGCCAAATACCATTCATAGTATTTTATTTGTAGCCTACTATCCGCTTTTAAAGCCTGGAAATTTCATTATTCGAAATTCGAGAAGAGTTTTCAGCGAGCTTTAATATTGAAAACGATAGTTGTATTACGCAATTATTATTGAACTTACCCATCATGTTACTAAGGAAAATCTGTCCCAACACACGTTTTTAAAAAGCAAATAGGTACCTATTAATCCGAAAAAAAAAAACTATTAACGTCGTACTACTCGCACTACTAACTTAAAACTTCAACAATTATTACCACTTTATTCCACCACCAAAACTGTTATCGTACAAATAAAATTCATTCACGAAGACAGTTGATAACATTCCATAGAAACGTTCGCGGGTTATTACGTATGAGTATGCTTTCTTACAAATTATTATCTGCAATAATTCTGTGATTTGTTATTGTTTATGAACAACGATTGCTTTATATTTAAAAAAAATGACCTGAGTAACTGGGATTATTGTGTCAGCAGAGGCGTGCCTAGATCAAAATATGTCCAGAAAAAAATTGATTATTTTTATAGGTAGGTAGGTAATTAAAATGTTTTAAATCTTTAAAGTGCCGATCAGGTTTCATAGGATCTACTTTTTGGATTGTACAATTTATAATATGTTAAATTGAGCCGATTGAGGCAAATCCTGCTGGAGTGAGGAGTGAGGGAGGTATCAGAGAACCCTTATGCCAGCCATGCACGTAACCATATACTTGTAATTTGCGTAAGTTCACACCTGCACAAGTATAACAGTAACATGTGCTGGAAGATTTCTAGACCTGTACAAGTACCTATTCAGGAAGTTTCAATTTTCGATTCCGCGACTTGTCCAAGTTCAGGTTTGCAGAGATGAAGAAATAGTCGAACTGTAGGTACAAAACATAGTGATCGAAGATTCAGTAGAAGATATCATGAATGTGAGTAAGACACGTGGTGAATGTAAACTAGTGTGAGACACAGTTCGAGGAAATTGCCAGAAATTCATAAATATACATACTTATACAGTATATATACAGAGATGAAGCATGTTTCTGGCAAATAAAGAACAAATTGCGACCCCATATCTGAAAGAAAAGAAGACATTCGTATTTTTTCGATTCCTTTGTTTTTGTTTATGTTTAGCTTTAGGTGACCATCCGTCCCGATTTAGGCGAGACAGTCCCGATTTCGAGCTACGAGTCCCGATTTAATAGGCGTCCTGCTTTTGTCCCGCTTTCAATAAATTCCAACTATCAACTTTTTATTACCTATATTCATTTATTTTAAATCAAATTAAAAAACTATTTCGCTCAATAGTTATATTGAATTGTTAATTCAAATCTATAAGTTTTCGCAGATTTCAGAGCTCACAAGTCACAAGTCACAATAGTCACAACCATTAACGTTGAACTCTCCTTGAGCATTTTCAATGTCCTCATTGTGCTCTCCTGTTGCATCTTTGTAAAGGACTGTGAAACTTCTTGGGCGGTGGTCTGATATTTGGACGACAATGGGGAGTGATTTGGAAAACGCGTCACGGGCAAATTTTCAAGAGAGAAGAAAGATATAACGTAAAACCAAGAATCGTAAACTCTACAGGATTGCTCCACGATTCTTGACGTAAAACGAAGGAGGAAGACAGCCAATGACAATGACAGCCGACGATCGATTGACACAAACCAAAGATTGAAAATCAAGAGGATTGTCTATCATTGTCAAGCGCTGAAACCCTTAAAACGTACCTAACTACAGAAGCGGGTCTCCCTCAAAGCTCCTAAAATTATTAGGTTGTCTGGTAATGGGTAACTTGATGACGCATCTTGGGTGCCTTATGGAGATATGCATTATGTTGAGGCACCCCAGATGACGTCATAAAGTTATCAGGCAACCTACCTCTCTCAAATAACCTTGGGTGGTTACTCCCTTTTGTGTGGTCCTTCGTCTTTACCGGTCTTGATCCCTCGACTCATACCTACGCAGTCTAAAAGTTGTATGAGGAGAGGATAGTTTTTGAGAAGTTTCACTTCCACCACGTGTAGGTACGGCGAACATGATTTTTTTTTTGTAGTTTCAAATTTGTTTTTTTTTTTATATATCATTACATATTTTGTATACCTACATAAGTAATTCATCTATCACTACCCAGCCCAGGTACCCAAAAAAACTAAACTGAAAATGGAAACGAGATTTTTGAGAACTTTGTGACTTTGTCCCGCTTTTGGACTTTCAAGATCTGGTCACTTTAAGTTCAGCTTCTAGATTCGTTGAGGTAATCAAAGTTT